GCCCAGGAGTTGGAGGTTGCTGTGAGCTGTGATGCCACGGCATTCTACCCAGGGGGACAGCTTGAGGCTCTTGTCTCAAAAAAAAAAAAAAAAAGTCAAGACATAGCTGGGCATGGTGGCTCATCCCTGTAATCTGGCACTTTTATAGTCCCAGTGGGAGGATCATTTTTGAGCCTAGCAGTTGGAGAGAATTGTGGTTATACCACTACTCTCTAGCCTGGATGGAGTGAGACCCTGTTTCAATACTAAAAAATAAAATCAACTAGATGATATGTATGGAACTTGTGTGGATCTTAACTTAAATGTGTTCATTATAAAATTGTTCCTTCGAATCAGTTTCAGTTAAGAAAAATTGGGCACTGGAGCATAGGTGAGGTTAAAGAATTAATAATGTGGGTGGTGCCTGTGGCTCTGCCTGTGGCTCAAAGGAGTAGGGTGCTGACCCCATATGCCAGAGGTAGCAGGTTCAAACTTAGCCCTGGCCAAAAACTGCAAAAAAAAAAAAAAAAAATATATGAAAAGGGGATTTTTCTCTTTTTGTACTCAGAATAATACCATTTACAATGTTAGGGTCCAAAAAAAAAAAGAGAGAGAGAAGGTTAATTTGATTAATCCTTACCTCCTTTCTGGGATATGCACTGATCAGATTCCAGTAAGTTACGTCAGTCAGCCCTATTTTACAGTTTGCTTTAAGGAGGAAGCCCAGACATAAGAAGATAATTCATAAGGAGACTTGTTGATGTCACTATCAAATTTTGGAATTCTGTCTTGGTCCTGTAAATAAATGAAAGACTTCTACTACATGGCTACGTTCTGTGCTCCTCCACTCACATCCAAGGGGAAGCCGACACTTCCCTCTCAGCCTGCTTTGCACACGATAGTTTATGAATTAAAAACAGTGCACAGATGATTTGAATGCCACCACTGTTCATAGTATCACCCTGGACACTTTTTCCTTATATACTGAGATGCCCTAGTCCAACAATCCGGCATTATGCTACCTTTTCTATAAGTTTATCATCGTTTCTGCCACATGTTTCTTAGATATCCATCAAAGAGTTAGATGGAATTGGGTTGAAAGTTCTGGTTTTAAATTTACTGGGTAGTTTTTATCCAATATAATTAAACCAAACCCCTAAAATACATATACTCATATATATACTTCACAGACTGCCACTGAAAATGTCCAAAGGAACTATTAATTTCTTACACCTTCCTAAAAGTGAAATATTAATGTGTGAACATTAAAACGTATGAAATAAGCTTTTAAAAATATTTGCTTTAAAAGGTAACCAAGCAGGAATCATGTGACTGAAACTGTGTACATGCAGAAAACATAATTATTTTAATTTAATATCTATGTAAATATTTTCAAAAATTATTAAAATAGGTACAAAAGTTATTTATTTAAGCTCATCACAATCTTAACAAGGAAACTTATCAGCAAAGTAGTGATCAGAGCATTTTACCTAGAAGTTTTCAGAGGAAATGTTTTAAAAATAAGGAATAAGTGGGAAATCAATAAAATAAGGACATAGCTGCATCTTCAGCGCACACATTCTGAAATAGACACATCACATGTATAAAATCATCACATTCTGGACAAAGTGAAGGGTAAATGGGAGCCAGCGTGCGGGGCCTCAGATTTCAGGCAGGGAGCTCAGGGGTCAATGCCAGGTGGAAAACCACTTTGACGCCTTTCCACTGGAGAGTGAGAAAAGGCGAGCAAGAAAGAAAAAGGAAGACCTTCCTTCAACTGCTTAGCCCGAGATCCCTGAACGTGAGTTGCTGAAACTGAGACTGGGCCGGAATGAAACATGGAGACCATGTACAGCAGGCAATGCTGAGGGCAGAAATACAGTTTCTTAATATCAGCAACTGAAGGCAGAGGGGGTGCCAGGACGTGGTGAGGATCTATGTGAAGAATCTCAGAGGAATTTCGTTCTTTCTCTTCCCTACAGTATCTTTACTTACTTATAATTTAAAAAATATTTTTAATTGAAAACATTGTGTGTATATATATATAGTGTATGTGTGATGTTTTAATATATGCATGCCTGGTTTAATCAAGCTAATTAACATATCTGTAACTCACATATTTTGTGTGGTAAGAACACTTAAATACAGCAATTTTCAAGCACACAACATATTGTCAATTTTTATTAACTAAGTACAAAAATTTCTTGAACTTTTTTTTTTGAGGCAGAGTCCCACTTTGTTACCCTGATAGAGTGCTCTGGAGTC